CCGACGTTTCCACCATTCCACCACCGCGATTAAACATTTTCATTTACGTAATACCTAAAGGGGGATAGAAAAATTTGTCATCGGACCGTGTCGGGATGTAAAACGCGATTATAACGCAATCGGGTATCGAACAGCCATCGATTCGAAGGAACGCGAATGTTTATTCGATGACCTGCAAGGGTGTTTACCTAGGGTTGCCACAATAAAGTCGAACTCGAGTTCCCTGGAATTTTCTTCTCTGAATTTCATTTAGCGAGTAGAGTAACGACCAAAAGCACGAAAATGGAATTCGTATTTATTTGAACTTTGCTTATTTGTTACGATTTTTATCCGTGATACGACGAATATCGTGGAATGCAGTAATCTGGTGGGAAAAAGGACAGTTTCGGAATTCTTTCCAAAGAAATCGTGACATTTTAACGATTGACACTTAACGACTACCGCGCACCTTTTGTATTTTGTTATTTTGTATTGTACCATCAGCGGGCCACGATAAAATTTCCATTATTCTTATGCTGTAATAATAAATTACCAAACACTATGTCAAAGAAAAAAAAATGGTGGAAATTATTAATATTTTCTATTCAAAGTTCTCTATTTATTTCCGTTGTTCAAATCTTCAAAAAATGGTTAGACTAAAACAAATTAGTATCCGTGGACACTGGTGACCACCATGGGCTCACTGAGGAGAGAAGCTCTGGTCCCTGGTAACCACCATGGCAGTCAACGTGTCAACAGGCTGTCGTTCAATTATTCGTTAGTTCACAATTAAACGACACTCGCAATTTTTTCGGTAGAAAATAAGAAAGATTGTAGGAATTATGTACGAATAAAGCATGATCATCGAGAAATATTCCACGCACGAGGAAACGCATTACGTTCGATTTGACAGCCCGGAAGTCTGAATCAGCTGAAGCGAAACAGCTCGGAAGTTTGACCACAGCGAACGAAGCGTTGGATCGGGTGACAATGATTTTTTAGCCTGGAGAAACGAAAAGTTCATCTGTCGAAATTGGGAAAAAGGAAGGAAGGGGAAAAAAAGAGTGGATAAAAGGAAGGACGAAAGTAACAGTGGTCGCGGTCAACGGATTTACCAGGTTTACCAAAAAATAAGCGCGCGAGGAGGCCTCTCTTTCCCTCGGGGAACGACAATTGAATCAATTTAGAGGCCAGTTTTGATAGGCCGTACATGTGAACGCGTTACACGGCAGGTGTTTTGAAATATTACGCCGAGGTTACGCCAATTATCCTTGACAGGCGATGGGAAAAATGCGATCGACTGTTAACACTAACGTTAGATCGCTATGCTTTTTCTGGATGCCTGCTGCCATCACTATGCATCCTGGAGGGTACCGATGGGTCCCCCTATGTATAGGTATATGTATAATATTTATCACTCATGTGCGATGATATTGGAAGCATACAGCTCACTGCAACAGCTCGAAAATTGACAGATTCTAACATTGAGCAGAGCGAGATGGTAAAGATATTGATGTAAACATATTACATGCAAAGGAATGACTAACTCGTTTGTCAACGCGAAGGAGGAAATTATGCATGTGTTGACTTGGAGCATTAAAATTAGGGTAGGTGCTGCATGACACGAGGGTGAGAATGAACTCATGAAGTCCGATTACTGCCAATAGATAAGTTGGAATATATGACTTTGTTTTTGGTATATACGTCGATTAGGTCTACTGTAATTTGGAAGATTATGACGAGCACAGCAGTCCATGTAAATTTCATGCAAGGTAATTATAGCTTGATATTGAAACTGTATGGGACTTGACACTTAGACAGCTACGCACTTTTTAGGGCCACGATAAAATTTCCATTATTCTTAGGCTATAATAATGAATTACCAAACGCTATGAGAAAGAAAAAAGAATGGTGGAAATTATTAATATTTTCTATTCAAAGTTCTCCATTTATTTACGTTGTTCAAATATTCCAAAATTTATTAGAATAAAACAAATATAAATTTAAAAAATTAATATCGCTGGATACCAGTGACCACCATAACCACCATAGCAGTCAACGTATAAAAATTTTTTATTTAGGTAAATTCGACACTGTTATTGGTCAATTCGTGGATCGCGTTTCTTTGACACGAATTTTTATTTTGAGACGTACAAAGTGAAATTTCTGTACCTCCTTCGCTATCATGATGAGTCATGTAATGGTTTAATCGCGTGAGGATGATATATCTCCAAAGTGTATACGTATGTTTGCATTTTTAAGCATTCTGGCATATATTTGTCGTCTGCTGTTCTCACACTAAGCAGATTTAATATTTATTAGAATATTTTGATAACGACATATTCCAAGTAAAATGTCAAAAATGTAAAATTGGATTTGAAAGAATAAAAAGTAGGATATTTAATAATTTTTCATCTACTCACTGTATATATTAAAATTTTGACAAATTTATTTCGTAATCGCTCCTTTCATTCAGACGATATTCACTTGCAACAGTTTACATGACTCATCTTATACCGTATATGCTTTATTAGCATAATGACTCAGAAAAAAAGGCACAGTAAATTTGGTCTCATTAAAATGTTTCTTCCTTTTTATTTTTAGTCATGAGAGCATTAAAAATTTGCACTCTTCTGTTCTAAAATTTAAGCCTGGTTATTTTTGCTTTTAATTATTAAATCATTCTGGAAAATTTACGTCGATTCTCTATCACGTTAAATTTTATCTTCAACCAGTGGTACAGATAATCTTTAAAAGAGATATGGTCAAATAATATGGTTACCGTGGCGTAAAATAATTATTTCACAGTTAAATAGCAATTACTCGCGACTCTTAATTAGAATTTGCAATGTAATATTAATCAATAAATACAAATAAATGCAACTGTTTATTCTGCTTATTTATTGAAACGGGTGATTTTGAAAGCCCATCTGTTAATACGTATACACATCTCTCTTTCATTCAAAACTTTCGTAAATTAATAAATAAACTAACGCTATAAATAAGCATAAATATGTTATCTCGCGATAATTCGCTACTTTTGCACATCTTTCACGGAAGGTAAAAATATTATTTACACGATCTATTAAATTGAAAAAATATGGATAATAAAACACTTAGAAATTGCAATTGTTCAATCAGATGTCTGAAAATAATACATCTGTCAAATCTGAAAACAAAATGATTAAGCTTCCGAAGCTGGAATTAAAAATGAAAAAATTAAATACTTAGCATTATCAATTAAACTAATGAAAATATCAGTTCACGATAAATCTTGTTTATATGGAGATTATTGAGAGAGGAAATGAAGAGATTAAAAACCAAAAATTGCTCGTTAATATAATCATTTAAATTAGCCAAATTAATTCGCGTTAAATCTTTTTCACAGCAATTAAGAAAAGCTCGCTGGGAACAGGACAGGTGCCAAAGGGAAAAGGATGAAATTTGCCGATTGGCGAATACAAAAATTTGCCGAACACATAGAACCCTTACATCGAGTTCCAATATTGTCCTGGTTAACAACAAACAGAATAATGAGTACACAGCGTCGTACAAAATTCAATCATACAAATTAACTGCTTGCATCAATTTCGTTTACCTTGTAACCCAGTCGAATCGCCCGATTCGATCGGACGACCGACGAAAACGCCAAGTGTTTGTTATACTTTCGAATTATGCCATTTCCTGAAAATGTTGGCAGCGCGCGATCGAGGAATTAACGGCGACCCGAAAATACGCTGGAAAAGTGTCATCAGGAATGTGATACTAGTGTCCTGAAAGCTAACTTTAACTCGTTAATCAGTTTGCCATAAACGATACCGATCACATGGGATTCATCGATCATTTTACAATCTCCTAATTTATGAAAATGACATTAAATTCCTATTTATTGAACAAGAATTCAGAAAATTGCTGAATTTTTCAACTCTGCTGAAAATTTTTGGAATAACTTATTCGATAAATAGAGTATTTGAATTTTTTCAATTGAAAGTGAACGAAAATTATAATTATAATATCTCGTTTATTTTTATTTTGAATTAACGTTTAACACTTTGACTCCTGTGACGTCACGGTGGTCATTGGTGACCGAAGTGCTTGAATTACTTACAATTGTAAAAATTGAATGAAAATTGACAGTTAGTGTCAATTTCAGCCGTTACCAAGGTGTCACAGTGGTCATTGGTGACCAGAGGCGCTTGAATTATTTACTATTGTAAAATTTGACAATTAGTGTCAATTTCAACCGTTACCAGAGCGCTACGGTGGTCATTGGTTGCCAGAGGCGCTTGAATTACTTACAATTGTAAAACTTGACAGTTAGTGTCAATTTCAACCGTTACCAAAGCGTCACAGTGGTCATTGGTGACCTGAACGCTTGAACTAATTACAGTTGTAAAAGTTGAATAAAAATTGACAGTTAGTTGACTGTCAACCGTTACTAAGGCGCCACCGGTGGTAACTCGTGACCGCCAATAAGATAATCACTCCATTGGGTAAGAATGGGGTTGCCTTATATCTCCAATTTATTATTATTTTGCTATTATATGCTTTGAATAATGATACTCCGGCGGCGTCCTGAGCGAAGCATGTGATTTCGGCGTGGGAGTCAAAGGATTAATTAACTTCGTCTGATTAACGACGAAGCTAGAACCATCTGCTATTCCTTCGTGTAATTTAACAACGAATGACGAAAACTTAGTAAAATTTAAATCGTTAATGAAACGTTATCGTCGATCTTCTCGAAAGAACTCTTGAAACGTGTCAGGGTAAACAACGACCACATTCTCGAGGAGGAATGATTTTCCTTGGAGATAAGGAACGACAGGGGGTTAGATATTTCCAATTTTTTCCTAAGTCTCTGCAAAACACCAGGGTTTACGCAATTTGTTTATCCCACATGTAGTGTTTGCCTTGTGGTCGGCGAACCCTGATAAAATGCAACAGTATCAGCGGCGATCACAAATACAATCCGATGAATCGTCAAGGTGTTCCTCGGGCAGAAAAATTATTATCTGCCCATCTGTTTGTCGATCGTATAAATACACGAAGTTGTAATGAACTGGATCAGACGGTTACAAGTTACATCGAGGCGCTTAAAAGGTGAGCTGACAGCTTTAATTGTACGTTTCATTTACTCGTGTACTTCGATGCCGCCATTTTGGTATTTGGATCAATTTTCTTGCTCACCTTTGCAGTTTCTGTAATCGTGGGACAACGCTGTTCGTTTAAAATGAGAGCTCTGTTCGTGATTCTGTTCATTTGTTTTCTGGCCCTCCCAGCTATCATGGGCTGCAGACCACCAGGTTTACCAGTGAGTAAATTTGTTATTAATAAAATTATATCTGCAAAATGTCGATTTCAAAATGTTCAAATTAATATATTATAGAATACCAACAAATTTTGAATCTGTTGCAAATATTCAGAATTGCTTCTGTGCTTGAAAGTAGTTAATATAGTTTGCTAGCTTATTAATTAATAAATTAGATAAAGTAAATTAGTAGATCAATAAATTTATTAATTAATAAGCCAGCAAACTATATTAACTGCTTGCAACCACAGAAGCAATTCTGAATATTTACAACCGATTTAAAATTTGCTAATACTCTATCTACTACTAATAGATTTATTAACCCTTTGCACTCGACGATTTTATTGGCTAAAGAAGGGTACGAGTTGAAAAATTTGGTGCTATTAAGCTGATAATATTTTCTGAGCAGTAAATAAGAAATCGTATAATAATTAACGCGTAGAATTGTTTAATTTCGGTACCTCGCACACTGTTACATTATTTTAAATTTGATATATTAATTAATATCGAGCCTGGAAATTTTATCAAATGACGACTGAAGGGTGCCTCGCGAGTGCAAAGGATTAATCTACTAATTTACTAATAAATTTATTACTCTACTCATCTTGAATTTTATTCGTGAAAAATATGTAAAATACCTTTCTGAGTATATGAGGTGTTCATGTATTAACAGAAAAATTTTGAAAATTATATAAAAATTATAGAGACAAAGATTCAATGTACCCTGTACCCTGATACAACAAAATTTTCCAAACCTTCTGTAATTTTATTTAACTATAAATCATATGAGCACATAAACACCTATAAAATCAACGAAATCATCGAGCTCGGTTGAAACTTTCGATTAAGCGATGAAAATTATCATAATGAAACCGAGTTCGGAATAAAATTGTAATAAAATTACCTGTCGCTCGGGCAAACGATGCTCATACGCGATGCGATAATTCGAATGTAAACGGCCGGCAGGAAATACATTTCCGATTCACAAGGTACACGTAATCCAGCGAGATAGACTCGCGAGACGTCTGTTTAGAAATCAACGAGCCCTCGCGCACCGTCCGGCAATTTTTCGAAATTTTCGCGACGCGTCAACCGGCTCTTTCGTACGGACGTGAATAGCTAATCATCGGGTGTAATTTGCCGTAGTGCTCCGACGACAAAGACTGCTGTGCACCGTTAGTATGCAACCCATGGGCTGGCCGATGCACCAAGAAAATGAGTCCGCCAGCAGCCCTGGCAAATCAGCCAGAAGATCCAGCCGCGCCACCTGTCCAGGATCGGCGATGAATTCAACGATCGATCGGCGTCAATGTTATTTCGTAGAATATATCAATCTGCCTGAATACGATTCTTAAAATTCGCTTCAACTAGTTGTTTATATAAATCTATGTATGCATACGAGAAATATATTATGAATTAATGTTTTGGATTTGCTTTGTTCCTTTGTCATTTATTCTTCTTATTTATTCTAATATCGTTTTACTAGTCTGGAATTATTTGACTGTTTAGAGGTGGGGGTGGGTTCTTACTTGAGGCAGATTTAGGAATTAAAAGCATTAATTTTGCGTTACAGGGTGTATATATAATATTATTATTTAATTTAAGTATAGAATTTTATGAGAACACCTGTGATGGTACATTAGAGTTATTATTGAGGTATTATTATTATTACCTCATTTATTTTTCTTATTTATTCTTCCATCGTTTTACTAGTCTGGAATTATTTGACTGTTTAAGGGTAGGGGTGGTTTCTTCCTTAAGGCAGATTTTGGAATTAAAGGTATTAGTTTTGCGTTACAGGGTGTATATATATTATTATTTAATTTAAGTATAGATTTTTATGAGGACACCTTTGATGGTATATTAGTGTTATTATTAAGGTATTGTTAATATTACTCATATTGTTACTAATCATTGCGAGTATTGGTTTTATGAGGGTGAGAGTGATGGTTTCATATGTGTGAATGGTACTAAGGTAGAATAAATGTAACGTCATTTGGGATGATATAAATATAATATATGCGAATGGAATCTAGTATGAATGTTGATAAAAATGTGTAGAACAATGTGTCAGAATGAAACAGTTGCATTAGAATCGTCAATGAGTAAACATGTGTTAATAAGAGCGGGAGAGAGCGAGAGATATAGAAGAATTTTCTAGATAGTGTTAATCTTTTTGTCTGAAATATTATATTGTGGATTGATGTTAATATTTAAATATTATATAAAGATATTAATTTGTTAACTGTTAAGAAACGTACAAGATATTGCTGTGTCCATTTTTATCCACAAAGGTAATTTTTATCGAATGTTTATATTGGTTTATAATGAAAATTGGTTTGCATTTCTATTCACAATTATTGCCAATTATTGTTAAATAATTATTATTTTTATTAGTATCACTGTCACTATTATCGCTATTATTACTATTACCATCGTTATTATATTAGTAAACATAATCAGTTAAGTGTTAAACAGAATATTATGCAATAATTGTGCCTTAGGTAATTAATTATCGAATCACCTACATATTCAAATGAAAGTAAAAATGACTCGATGAGTTAGAGAATGCATAACGTGTACGCACTCTTAGCCAATGGCTGCTCGATATCTCATGGCGTACATACGCACCCTTTGTCGACGAAAGGGTTGAGCAAACAAGAAAGAAGAAATAAACTGACAACGAGATGGAAATTTTGCAAATTTGTTGGTCGGTTCGAAACATTCGTCGATAATTGCTGAATTTTGGAAAAGTACGTACAGTGTTATTATTCTAGTTTATATGATACCACGGTGATCGAAATGTACACGATTTAGGGGTCGCATTAACATATGATAAAGTGGAGAAATATTAGCAGAGAGTTCATATTTTCTAATGAAACACAATACGCGTTGTTTATCGTTTAGAAAATAATTTCTCCTTTTATTCACTGTTTTTTTCTATCGTAATATCGAATTTAATTATTATTATTGTCATATGGGCGTATCGTATAGTGTATGTCAAAATCATCAGCAGATAGAAAAGGAAAAGTTTCCTCAAAGTTAGATATTCATACTGAGATTATATTTATTTCCAAAAGAAATTATTTGCTTTTTACTTGCTCCGAATTAACCCGCAGAAAATCTGTTTTATCGAAGGGCATTTTTAATTCAATGATAATGATCACGATTAATCGTAAATATTAGAGTATGAAAAGCGAAATCGTTGAATTTAAGTGGGTAATTACATATTGAACATATGCTAATTTAATGAATAAAATGTGGCACGATTTGCTTGAAAAGGGAAGGAAAGCTTTTATCTGCAATTATTTGATATTTAATTAACATCAAAAATGCATATCGAAAATTCGAAAAATTAATACTGCTTGGTAGAAAATTTATGAATCATTTACAGTAGAACTACCGACCTACCACGTGCACTTAAATTTAATAACCATAAGTAATACTTATATACAGTAACAAAATAAAATATTTCATGTAAAATCATCAGTTCTTACAACCTACCTCCTATAGTAGATGCGACGTAAAACCCCTAATTTTGCAAAATGAGGTTAATTTTCCAAAAGCAAAGGCACAGTTGATTATAACATTCACAATACTATAAATCTAGTATGTAGGAAATTAAAGCTGTCGAATAAAATTTCTCAAACTAATTATGTTAATAAATTTGGTAACTCTAATAGTTAAATAAGAGAATTTCATACAAATATATATCTCGAATTTTAATTCCAATTTTAATTTTATTAAGAAACAAAGGATACGAATAAATACGATTAAATAAATAAAAGCAATTATATTTATCTCGTGTAAAAAGCAAATGACAAAAGTATCTAACATCCCCACGATTTTTCTATCTATTAGATAGAACAATACATGTATACACACACCAAGGAATTATTTAACCACTCGTATCAAAAAGGCAATAACGATAACTCGTATGTGTCCGTAAATATAACCCCGATTAGTCATGTAAAACGTATAAAGGCGTTGATATCTACTCTTCCAAAGGCAGTTTTAAAGGTACTTTCACGTCGAGAGTTAAAATTTCCAAGAGCAAAAGTCAGTATACCTTTTTACCTTACTAAAATCATCCGAACGCTCATTTTGATTCAAATTCAATCATTTCATCCCTCCTTCCGAAAATTGTCAAAATCTCGAACAATTTTCTATTCCGGCCATTGATTTTATACATGGACAAATAATTTTTCTAAATTTGGAATGGGATTTGTAACGATAAAATATTCCAGGTACAGTTCATTCGTATTAAATTCGATATATATTTTAATATTTCAATAAAGTCTATACAGGGTCGCGAATTATTCTCCAAATTTGCATAATATCTCGGAATTAAATTACATTTTCCTTTATGGCAATTTCTACAAGTAAAAAGACCTCTGTTATCGCTTTTATTATAACAAATTATTACTCTTTGGGAAGCAAAAGTGGCACGTAATCTTATTTATACAAGTCATACCTACCCTGCCATACCAGCACCGTGAACCGCGTCTTTGTTCAAGAACAATGTCAAATCGCGTATCTAACGAAGCACGGGGGGGGGCACGTAAAGCCGAAAGAAAATGGCCGGCACAAACGTTTCATTCTGCAAGGAATTTAACATTTTTTCCGTTATATCTATTTTCTCGCTGTGAAACGTGTTGAATCCCTGCTCCGTGGAATATAATTATTAAATTTTTGAGGAATAATCGAGGAGCCCGCTCAACCATACGTAGTAGAAGTAATGTTTCAATTTCGCTGCACATTTTGTATCGCGCAAGTATAATAGCAAAAACGAATGTAATGGTGAATTTTTATGAGCTATGCGCAATCGGACGGGATTCAACGCGAAATATGAGAAAAGTTCGCAGTTATGTTCGCAGCGTTTCCGTTATGTGTTTCTATTAGATCCCCGCCATAGAAATACAGTATTTATCGCGGAACGTTTACAAATGAGGGGAACGATCGCGAATAATAGTTCATCGGCCACTTGTTTCAATTATGCAATCGCCTTTCGTTTCGTTTCTTTTATCGTATTTCCCGGTCCGCCATGCCTACGGTTAGAATTTGCATTATTTCGTAGAAATTCCCTCTAATAATTATTGCAGCCTCGATATCCAACGAAATGAGATTTCTGATGCTCGTGCTGATATTTATGGCGGTTTTTACCACCGCCTTGCCCGCCTCGCAGAAGAACGTCACCTGCAGCCCTTGGAAGGGAAGGGTACGTGTGCCGTATACCGTAGACGTATAAAATATCGGTGAAAAATCACGAATTCCATAGTATCGAAGCTCGTGTACGCGTTCGATATCGTTTATTAACGGATCGCTTTTACTAGTGGAATAAATTAATTCGAAAAGTGTTTGGTTTTACTTTTATGCAATTACTCATTCGTTCCTCTGAATTACATTTTTCATGTTTGCAATTTCCTAATGTTACGATGTACGGGATATTTAATGAAAGAGAAGAGGAAAAACAGGGGGAAATTATGATGGAAAATAGATTGGGAAATTGGGAAAAATTTTAGTGAACGGAACGTCGGTATTTAAACATCGGGATCATTTATTTTACGATAATATTTTCACGATTATGGTATCTTGGATAGCGCATGTGTGTAATCCGGTGCTTTTTATGAAGACAGATGTACGTGTATCTTTATATGAACAGATGTACGAGCTTTTATAGACGAGCGTCTTGCGACATCTCGAGTCGAACGATACGGGAAAGTGTGAAAATACAGTGGAAAATTTGTCTGGAAAATTATCGAATAATCATTATGCGTGATTCCTTTCCCATGATTGTGGATTTTTAAATGTACCTTATCTAATGCTATTTGACATTCCGATCTTAATACTACTTAAGATTCTAATATTCAATCGCATACAACTTCGATGTATTCCGCTAACGTCGCCATTATGAAACGATACGAAAATTATTATTCATTCGCGTAAATAATTCATTTTTGCAATTCTCTTGTGCATTTACGAGTGGAAGGATTGGAAGCGAAAGTTTCCACAGTGCACGATTGATGTTTTAATTTTGCGATAAGGAGATACCAGATGCCATTCCACGATGATGTTTAAATAATCTTGTCAATAATACGACGATAAGCTGAAGATAACTCGTAACGTTATTTAATATTCTCGTTATTTTGTAACGAGAAATTCTCGTTTCTATTTCTCCCTCGATTTTCCTCGTTTAAAATTTGGAATTATTATTTGCCATATTCTTCGTGCGAATATAAATAAAAAATTGAATATTCCTACGTGGGAAATATGTTAATATAGTATACTAATATAACATTTAATGTGCAACAACGTGTGAATTGCTATTTTATTATTATAAGAATAAATTCGAATATTTTAATTATTTTTCCTGTATATGTTATTATTATTTTAGTGTCATGTTACTGAAGATTGCTGTCGCCATCTTGTCTGTCTAACATACCAAGCTAAGTGCGTTCCATACCCAGGAGAGCTTCCTGGAGACGACACCAGGCCTATCGGGGATGGACCATTTCCTCCATTTCCAAACATTACACAAACACTATAAATAATAATGTATACTCAAGCTTTTCCCTTTCGGTATTTCATTTTGACAAGAAACTGACATCATAGTAGAATTATAAAGTATTTCACGCGTTCTCCATAAAAAAATTCCCTATAACCCTAGAAAAACACTAGTAGCTTTAAATATCAATTTCCTCAGATTTATTGTTTCCTATACTTAATAATTTATTACTCGTAAGACTGGTTTTCTCTGCTCATAATAAAATATTTTCCGACTTTGTAAAAATATGAAAGGATAACATATTCCAGGATTTCCATTAATTCCCAATTAATTCGTAAGAAGTACCGTGATCTGCAATTGAAGAATTAAAAAATTAAATCGATCATCGATGGCTAGCTCAATAACTGTTACCTACACCAACAACGAAGAATTTCCTAGTCTTAAGTATTTTACCGTATAAAAGTCTGGTAGCCTTCTAACGAAAATGGCGTCCTGCGTGCATTGGCGCAGAAAATAAATTAAAAGTACACACGGGTACCTTGCGTTCCTCGTTTCGCATTGAAACTTTTCCCTTTAACAATTCGCATAGACACACTGGGTACACTCGTCGTGCTCCGCATCGTGCTCTTCGAAAACGATGAAAAGACACGGCACGGTCGCACTCCGTACGCTAAATACAAAAACTTGGCAAGGTCGATTTAATTACGGGCGCGCCTATAATTAAAGAACGACGTTATAACACTGTGTTGCTTTACGCATGGGCTATTAACAAGTGGCACGATTTCATACGCGGATAAAGAAAGGGATGCCTGGAATTTCGCGGCAAAGAGAGAAACTGCATCACTTGCCTTGCGCACGGTCGTTGCATTGCCGAGGATCAAAGCTCTCGGATGACCTAACCTTTTCGCAGTTCGCCAAAAGTATACCTTGGCCCGCGCGTATCGTCGCGGCGATAAGTAAACGAAATTAGAACGTGCATAGAGAAAACGAAAACGAGAAAAAGAAAAGGAGAAGAGGGGAAGAGAAAAAGCGAACGAGGCGAGACGGGTAGAAATTTTTAATTTCGAAATTGCAAAATTGCCACCGTAGCGTGGCGGTGTTTTCGAAAGCAGCGTCACCGGAAGAAGAGCTAGACAGAGAGGATTCCGTCGCGATACACGGCGAAATTCAGTGACATTAAAGGAACGTGGAGAAAAAATGAAAAATGAAAAAAAATAGAAAAGGGAGGAGGGAAAAAAGAGTGAGAGAGAAGGGAAGAAAGGTAAAAAGAAATAATCGACGTTTTCACTTGGCTACCGTCTACGGATAAAAGGACAATATTACCGGATGATTCGGTTTTCTTTCCTGTTGTTTCCTATTAAGCGAATTAAAGAACAAGAGGGCTTTGTCGCGAGATCAATGGAATGTATAAAGCCTGCAATATGCAGTCGATGGAATATCGGCGCAGAAAGCAAAAAGTGCTCGACCATTTCATAGCGACGAATGGAAAAAGAATGTTCGCGGTGGCTGTCTCTTTTCAATTGTTATACAGTTTAGCGTATAATCGGAGTGAATTATAATTGCGGGAAAAATAGTACATTAGGTTTCGGCTTCCTCGAATTTCCCGGGATACTTCGCGATGCATTATCGCCGCTAAGCTGAATACCCACAGCCACGGAATAATCTGTAGTTACTGTAATTCAACAGGCTATCTCTTCTCTATCTTTCCCTCCTTTCTTTCTCTTTTCTTCCTGTTTCACGTTAGAACAAAACGAAATCGACGACCCCTCGCCTTCTTTCAATTTTATATTTATTTATAATACGTGCAAGGTCGATTTTGATATCGGAAAATATTCCAGAAAATATAAATCCAGTACATTACAGGATACCATAAGATATTTAATATAAACAGTTTTTCATAGCTGAATTTAAAAATTAATTTCGTATTTTTAAATGAAAACATATATTTATTAGTATATTAAAAAAACCAGTTTGTTATTCTCTACGAAAAATTATTATAATTATATCGATAAACCGATATTTCAAAAGACATATGTTTTCTTTAATGTTATAACAAAAGGAAAATATTCATTTATTTTTTTAAATATTTTTTTCTTTTTTTCTCTGTTCAACCTTACGTTAGAACAAAACGAAATGGTCTACCCCTCCTTCTTTCAATTTTATATTTATTTATAATACATACAAGATCGATTTTGACATCAGAAAATATTTCAGAAAATATAAATCCAGTAAATTAAAGGGTGCCATAAGATATTTACTATAAACAGCTTATCCATAGGTGAATTTAAAAATCAATTTTGTATTTTAAATGGAAACATATATTTATTAGTATATTAAAAAAACCAGTTTGTTATTCTCTATGAAAAATTATTATATTTATACCGGTAAACCGATATTTCCGAAGATATATGTTTTCTTTAATGTTATAACAAAAGAAAAACATACCTCAATTTTTGAAAAATATTTTTTACTTTTTTTCTCTGTTTAACTTTACATAAGAACAAAACGAAATGGGCTACCTCTCCTCCTTTTCCTATCTCCTTTCAATTTTATATTCATTTATAACGCATACAAGGACGATTTTAATATCAGAAAATATTCCAGAAAATATAAATCCAGTAGATTATAGGGTGCCATAAGATATTTACTATAAACAGTCTTTTCGTGGCTGAATTTAAAAATCAACTTTGTATTTCAAATGGAAATTTATATCTCTTAGTATATTAAATAATCCAGTTTGTTATTCTCCATGAAAAATTATTATATTTATAACGATAAATCGATAAATCGATAGTTCGGAAGATATATGATTTCTTTAATGTTATAACAAAAGGAAAACATGCATCTACTTTTTTAAAATATTTTTTCCTTCCTTTCTCCGTTCAGCTTTACGTTAGAACAAATAGAGCTTCCAGTTTTCTAACTTTTTTCATTCTTATGTATTTTTCTTTTCCTGCTTTGTTTCTCGTTAGAACAACAGAAAAAGCGGAATGCATGCATAGGGCAAAACGGTTGAACCGGAGGATAGGGATCAAAGGCGACGTTTCATCGCTTACGTACATACAGTTTATTGCGGAATTGAAAAATGAAATCTGTAAGCAACAAAGACTACGGATTTCTCTGCTTTATCGATTTCCCTGTTAGTTTTATTTACGTCGCGTCAATAATTTATATTCTCCAAACGTTGTCCATTCGATTGCTTCTCTTGTTATTTTCTTCGTGTTCCTTCGTTCTTTTTCATTCTCCTTCTCTCTTTTTCCTCGCGAGATGAAACGTAATATCGCAAGACTATTTCGCGGTTTAAACGGCAAATATCTTACCGATGTAATCTCGGACGAGTGTTTACAGGCGATCCGAAAAATCAGATGAAAATATATTTGTTGCGTGCATACACGGTGTTTACATGCAGCTCTCGAAAACACTGAGTATCGCGTTTTCTCGTTCCCGGAAACTCCGTCAATTTTTTAGACATATTTTTAGCTTTGCAAATTCTTGCGAACGCTATCGTAAATATATTATACAGAATAATTACGATCGGAAAATAAATATAAATTTCACGGTATATCGATAATTAGAATTTTCCTAATTACAGTTTTCCACTTTCGTATTGGGCTACGTTCATTTTGTATATGAAAATTATTCACGATTATTTTGCACATGTCCTGCCATTGGGTGTTTATAAATACAGGGTGTCCCAGAAAAATGTATACACACTTTGCGTGATTATAAAAACAGTATTTATTTTCTTCTTGCGTTTATTATTATTACGTTTATGCAAAAGATTTATTTTTTTATTACGTTTATTAAAGTCTAGTCTAAAATCAGCCATTATTTTAAATGGGATGTACCTAGGAAAGAAAAAATAAATTAGAAAGAATAAGGTATTAAAATGCGTATACATTTTTTTGGGACACTCTGTATTTCTACTCGTTCACAATTACCTGAAATTATTTAAGGCTCGTTTATGTGAATTTTAACAAAAATGCCTATGTGTGATTCAAAATAATTATAGTTATTCTTTTATACAAGTTGTGCAATATTAGTTGCTCTTTTACTCAAATAGGTTTGGTATATGCGATTTTAAGTCTCTGAAAGAAAAAAAATTTGTTCTTATTATCATGTACTTATTATTAGTCACAGCACAGGAATTAGCATGATTATCATTTGTTCGTTATTGAACTTGAAACGAGTCGAATGAATTCAGATTCCGAGTAGCTTCAAAATTTTTAATTATTTCTTGTTTAATTAACTGTGATTGTGACGTCTAATTTATAATAGCCTTACGAAACTGATATGCAAAATAACTGACCGTGATAATAAAATACAGTATCCCTGAAAAGTATAATTACTTCGGAAGAACCTACAATAAAGCTGATGGGGAAAATGACAATTACAAAAGGAAAATACATAAATAATATAAACGAAAGCTATAAAGAAAATAAAACTTACAAGAAAATTAGAAAATTTATTTGTTTATCGAAATGAAATAAATCCTAAACTAACAAAATTAAAATTCCAAACAAATTAGAAAATTTGTTCGTTTATCGAAACGAAATAAATCGTAAGCTGACAATATTAAAATTGCAAACAAATTAGAAAATTTGTTCGTTTATCGAAACGAAATAAATCGTAAGCTGACAATATTAAAATTGCAAACAAATTAGAAGATTTGTTCGTTTATCGAAACGAAATAAATCGTAAGCTGACAAAATAAAAATTGCAAACAAATTAGAAAATTTGTTCGTTTATCGAAATAAAGTAAATCGTAAGCTAGGAAAATTAAAATTGCAAGAAAATTCGAAAATGAACTGGTTTGCAAAGGTGAAATAACTGGGGAAGGAACGTAACAAAGAGTAAGATTAAAACGAGAATTCGTGCAGGGAACAAAGAGATAACAGAGCATTTTTCTTAAGCACGAGTCACAAGGGTGAGAAGTATAACGTTTCTCGCTAGTGCCTCTTGCGTTCTGGAGCCCCGCGTGCACGCACACTGGTGCGTGTCCGTGATGCACGGCTCAAAGGTTGGCCAGTGCATCGTGGTGCGCGGTATAAAAGCGAAATATAAGGCAAGTTGAGAAATCAGTTAAGCTCGAATTCTCGAGATCGTCGCTTTGAAGAAAGCACCACGAAGAAACCGTTGCAACAACCACTTGTGGTGAGTAGACCTCATGCGTAGTTTCGTCAAGGACAAATCTCTTCCGAGCACAACGTAGCTACTCATCGAGACGGACTCGTTCCTAACCGCTGTCGCGAAAAAGTGTCGAGTACGAATTAAATTAAACCCGCTAGTTTCGCCATTTAATCGTACCCAGTGATCGGTTTAGTTCGATCGTGAATTTTGCTAACGAGTTTCCATAATTAACAGAATCCACGTGGATTATAATACAGCGGACGATGTCGAATACCAGAGATGATACGAAGTGAAAGTTAAACAGTGTTTACGTGTACGACGATTGCTACGAACTTTATCGAAGGCCTGCCAAGCGTTTGAAAACCTTCGATGACGTATTTTCGGCGTAACATAACTTCTCCTCACTACGCGACGGATGGACTCGGGCACGTCCAATGAACTTTGGACGCCTAATCGCCCGCATTGTTGTCATTATAGCGTGTGTTCCACTGGCTAGTGTGTGTGCTGTGTGTGCTGTGTGTGCGTGGAATTTCGAAATCGTTTCTTCTTTCACGAGCATAGCTTCCAAGTTTACTAATTTCTTCATAACGATTTACGAAGGTAATAAAGAATATACGTGTATGTACAGACTCTAGAAAATCGCTAGAATTCCTATATAACGTAGTGTATAATTGGAAAGAGTCATTTGACATTGTTTATTCGAGTGGAAAATATTATTTTATTTGAGTTCATACGCGAGTTCTTCGCACTTGGTCGACATCTTTTATTAACACTAGAACTGCCAACCCAGTGAAAATGACTGGTCCCAGAAGTTTCCTTTTTGCAATCACCGAACACATACACCTGCTTTAAGAATAAAATTGGTATGAACTCGTATTAAGAAAGAACCGTAATCGATATATTCACTCATATTCATCGTATCGCTGAAACTACTATAGTTAGGTACCCATTAAAGATCAGTAGTTGTAGCGTTAAGCTCGAAAGAATTCTGTCAAGTACGTGACAATCACTTGGCGAGGTAGATTGATGCAGCTCATGGTTGGCCGTGGCCATAGACTTTAGTCACTCTGTTCGTTATTCAAGAACAAGTCGGGTCAGTAGTTAATGACTCATTCACGGATACCTGCGCACGTTCTTCCTGTGCAGTGATCGTACGTGTGCTCGTTGGCTTACGTAATGAACTAGAATTTCATGAATCTCGGTTCGACCATTGCAGGCATGACTCTGCGAATCAGGCTAGACCGGATACAAGATATATCTAATTGGCATCGAGAAGTGTCTGTTTCCGTTCCATTTTCTTCCGAATTTCTTCGCGAGAAGATACATTAATCCTTTGCGGTCCTGTATCCACTTGGACTCGGAATTTTATTTCATTAGAGTCTTCCAGGGATTATCCTGACACGTGAAACATAGTCTTTTGATAAAAATATCAAAATGCGTTAATAGGTAGGAAAATGTGGAAATGGAATTAAATTTTGGTAGGGAATTTTAGATTACGTATTATAGGTTATAGATTTGTTATAGGTACGAATCAGTTGAAGTGTAGTGTTAAATGGGACACAGATAACGAAGGGTTGAAACCTAATTTTATTTCTTATGGGAAAGTAAAATGATTGTTGGACGAGGAATAATAAAATCCTGAGAGTTTAATTGCAAAGTAAGTAGAGAAAGTGAAATGACAATGTTTTTGTTTTCAGTGTAAAAATACATCGCAAAATGTCCAAGTTCATGCTGTTCCTTTGCATCGTTTTGCTGGCTACGACCGTCATTATAGCTGCCCCTAGGGCCTGCCGTCAGCACGGAGACCCCGTAAGTAAAAAATTATTTTATTATTTCTCCGACTTCGTTGTCGACACGTTCAGTGTCAAGGACGAAATTATGATCGCGGAAACGGTGGCAGAAAGTAACATTACCATGCTTTACGTTAGTGTTAATTACTCTAGCATAATTATATACCTGTACTCGTGCAAGCATTCAACGATTACGTTTGTCGCGTTTAACGAGTGAAATATTTACGTGAAACTCGAATGTATGAGAAGGAAAAAGTTCGAAGATTATATTAATAAAATTAGAAAATTATTCGACGCTGTACTTATAGTATACTTATCGGAGATACGAACCGTGGAGGCGCTAGTGTGCCTTAGGATAGCAGCAAGGGATAGGTCAATAACATACCGAAACTTTTTATTTTCCAGTTAACCATGCTCTTGATTACTATACATTGCCTTTCAATATTTCTGTGTACTTTTAGATAGACGTTTGTTAAAAATGTACTAAAAAATAGGGCGAATTCTCCTGTATACAGACTGAATTCTTTAACTGATGAAAAATTACTTAGTCCACGGTAGAGCTAGAAAATAAACGAATAAAACATATCGATTTTTACTATATTTAAGGCAATATATTCCAAAGATAGTCATTTTTAACCACCCTCTGAAAAATTAAATCTAATTTATAAAAGCGTAATTCTTGTTTCCAAGATATACCGTTTTATTACAAAATGTTCTGAAGTTTATCACGTGTATTTCACTATAAAAAGAAGCAAATGCAAAGTTCCTCTATGACATGTCAATGATGCTCGTTCATTCGACGAAACTTTTACTTTCGACAGCCATCGTGATACAGAACGCGTGCAGGACGATAGATGTTCATTGGGTAGAAGTAACGCGTGTACAGTTGCAGACGTAAAAATCATAACAGGTTTACGCGGACCCGTTCCGCTAACTAGAGGTCTCGCGGAGCATGGGAGCCTAAAATAGAATTTTAAAGCAGCCGTAATAATATGCAGCCAGCGCAGCGCAACGTCATTTATACCGGCTGATAAATTCGCTAACGTGAATTTATTTCTTAATTCTAGTGCACAGGGACCTGGCAGTGTTGCCGGGGAGCGGTGTGTCACAAGTACGCGCACAGATGTCAAGTAATGCAGATCACAAGGGATCAGCTACTGAATGGACGCGAGAAGGTAATGAATGGAATGAACATGGATTATTAAGCCGAATGACCGTTTCGAAAGGACGAGCACAATACCGTTCAAAATCTCCCATCGAATCGAATCGGCTAATACCGGAACAGAACCACGGACATGTAACCCGTAACCAATGTAAATATGCGACCACGAGCGAACAAATAAATAGAACGAGTAGTGCACAGTAGTATAATCGAGCTGTATTTTTGCCTCAAGAGCGGCCATTTTCTTTTTATTCCCTCGCGGTGGGACCATTTCTCGTACAGAAGTCTATTTGCATGGAAGATTCTGCAGCATGTGCAACGTTCACACTATACAGGATTGTTGTATAAGAACATTTCATTGTTGAGAAACACTATCGCAAATTTTAGGGTTAACCGTATCTAGCGTAATATCAAATTAACATCGCTATTCGCCGAATTATTCGCTCGTCCGCAAAGGATTAATTCCGAGCGACACTAGCGCCGCCAGGCGAAAGTGAGGTTAGGGCCGTCTTTTAATCTCGCCACGATCGAGCGTAGGAGGCTCGCAGAAGCATCACTGGGGGTTTTCATTCCGCGGAAAAGGATTCACGATTATTAGGTTCACCATTATTATTATCAGCTCGTGCGAGATTATTGCGTTTGGTTTCCGTGGCAGGAATGCCCACGCGCGATATTATCTGCGCGGATGGTAGCGGGAAAAATGTCCTTATGAAAATGAAATTCCATCGATTCGACTGCGAAACGATTCCACCGGCGCTGTTGCTACTTGGAGGATAAACATTTTAGAAAATTATACGCGATCAAGCATGTAATTGCACGTTGGCCAGTGGAGAATTGAGGGACGTTCGATCGCGTTTACGTGCCGTATTGTCCGATCGCGTGTGTCGCGTTTCGAGCTTGCTATCGCCTTTAAATTCGCTATCTTCGACAGCGTCGGGGTCGAAACGCGGGCCTTGTCTTTCGATAACACTCGATAGCTGCTCTCGATCGGAAACATGGAAAGATTAGGGGAAATATCTGGCACGTTAAATAAACCTGGCGCGAAAAGGACAGGTGCGCGAAGAGGAGAAAGGGTGTCCCCGGTCTAATCGTCTAGACTTATCATTCGATAAACCGGCAACTGGATCAGCCATATGTGGGCTCGATCGAAATCTCTCGTCGACCGTGTCTTCCTGTTTCTCCAGATTTTTACACGGCAGGATAAAAGGGCTTCTTTTTGGGGTCGGGCGAATGGCGTGGCTGGGTACATTAATGGTCACTGAGAATCGACTGTTTTCCCATTAGTGGTCTCGATTTCCCTTGCGATTTACTCCTGGCTCTCTTTCCTTTTTAATTCTACGCTTCTTCAGTGAATTTTTTTAGTCCATTTTGGGATCAATTTCTTGAATCGAAGGGGGGAAATTGATGTCTGAAGTAGTCTTTTAGTTGACGTACAAGATAATATTTTATGAAATAGGGTATTAATAATTTATCGCGGTGGTGAATTACTAATGACGTGATTTATAAATTATTTATGGATTTATACATTTTAGTTTTATAAAATTTACGTAGTAAGGGAAGCAATTGGAAAATGATCTCGCGAATACAGAATTATGGGAAATGAAAAATAATTTCGCGTCATAGTTTTGTCATGAGTATAATTATTTGGTTATATTATAGATTAGGGTTTCTAAATCATTTTTAGTTCATGACCCTCTTCTTTTATTTTCTTCGCGTATTCAAAAAATTTGAGCTTCTAAGAAACGTACTTAGATATTTGCATTGTACTGTTATTTATTTATAGAAATCAATTTACAGATACTCGGTATAAATATTTTCGCGGGGACTTAAAAATTCAGTGTCTGCCTCTCTGCTGGGAAAGCCTGCTCGAAATCGATAAATACATACTTTAAAATACGGTTTAAAACACGGTTTAATTAATATCTTCTATTGGAATCTGTTATTTTCATATCTGACTATTTTACGTGATTTAAATTTTCCGTATTGTAGTCACGACGATGTTACGATGTACTGAAATGATACGTACACTACAGCGCAAAAATATTTGGACAGTTGATTATTTTTGGCAGGGCGAAATTTAATTACGAAATTGCGGATAAATGGATCTGCAATGATTTCGCTCTTTATTATTATTACAGTTATACGTTGCAGGATATTATGACGCCACGAAATCGATTTTTAAAAGCTAATACGAAGTAATAAAATTATCGTTCGTAATTGTCGAATCGCATACAACCGACTTGTCGTTTAACTCTCGTTATTTCATTTCGATCGTCTGCTTTAAGACTGTTTATCTTCTAAACCGATTACAAAATTCCTGTAATTAATTCAATCCCCGATATTTACATCTGACCTGCATTTAACCATACTGGATCGTTGATAAGTATCGAAACTGATAATTTACATTTATCATCTTCGTATCTTTTAAGCAAAAATTCACCATCGATTAGAATATCTCGACGAAACTCTTTTTAACACTTTGACTGCTACGCACAGTTACATTTTTTTGGGGGTACGCTCAGGGGGGCCACGATAAAATTTCCATTATTCGACAAAACAATGAATTATCAAATAATATGACAAAAAAAAAAAATATGCAGATTATTAATGTCTTCTGTTTAAAGTTCTCTATTAATTTACGTTCTTCAAATTTTCAAAAAAAGGTTAGGATAAGACAAATATGAATTTAATGAATTAGTATCGCCAAGCAAATGGTGACCGCCATGGCTCCACCATGGTCACTGATGACCACTATGGCAGTCAACGTGTTAAATACTGGCGAAGATTACTCGACGATATATTAAATAAATTTTTCAAACATCCTGCTATACGTATCCTCGCGTATTTTCGTTGGAATAGACGATCTACACCATCTCAGAGGCGAATTAAGCTCCGCCATTTGCCAGCTGTCGGCCAACTTTGCGATCGTTGGAGATTTTAATTTGAACGAAAGTTGGTTAAAAATTGAAGTCGACGCGAAAGGGGTAAGCCGAGCCACTTGGAAAAAAGTTGGCGATCGTCGTCCAGCCACGCTCTATCGTGCATTAAAAGGCATCCTAATTTCGAAAAGTAGACGTGCCACGAATCAAAGACCGAAAGCTTCTTCCGTTCGTTAGACGACATTTCCGTCGTGTTTCAATCTCATTAGTTTCAGCTTAAAGTTAAGCGCCTCAACTCTTTTAGGCCGGCCCGTTTCCGTTCTTTGACCGTCCTCGAGTTTACGAAGTTCTTTTCCGCCAAAGTTGCCGGCAAAGTGGGGAAAAAGGACGAAGATGGCGCGCGAGTCGACCGCGCGCGCAACTCGCCGTTCTAAACTTCTTTCGTGCCCCAAGACGGGGCACAACCATTGTTACGTTCGTTAAATTTCGTTGTAATCTGCGTTAATCGAAGTCAAACGTTGACAATGGAGAAACGAGTTGAACGACAGGGGAGTTTTGCCGTGGAAACGGCAAACAGGTTTAACGTTGTAATAATATTCATCAGTTTCTTAATCCTAGGCGGCCATGTTTGAAATCAGAGTTGGTGAAACCAAACTCGACGGATTTTTATTGACGCGTGTGCAGGAAAGATTAGATTCGATCGAACGTTGATATTCAAATATGCGAGATTCGTGTCCGGGAGGATGATTCATAAGCTTTTCAATAAGCCAACCGGCGAGGCAAAGTGTTTCTTCGTCGACGCTTATTTAACTTTTATTTTCCCGAATCTCGATCCCCGTGACGCCGATAAGATGGAAAAAGTCCTATCTAGTGGATCGAAGGTAAAGGCATCGCTGGACAAATATTTGTCCGATGTACCTTATCGTGTTCCAGCTTAATTGCCATATGTTACACTCTCATACTTTGCGGTATACCTTCTGTCTTACGTACTGCGCACATACGTGCCTTTATGGGACGATCGATTTTCGTGAGATTTAACCTTTCAGCAGCTTCAATCGCTTCATGAATTTCTTTTATTAACAAACGATAGAAGGAAAAGAACTAACTAGCTAATCGACAAGAGAGGAAAAGAGTGGAACATAATTCAGATCATCCCATAAGAAATATCAATAATGGAATAAGCAATAATCTCATTCGTTTCGTAAACCAACATACCCGCGAGAAATCCCCTAACCTCGAAATCCACAACCCCCGTTCCCCAATGAAGTCAAACGCTACCACTCGCCCCGGCCACGACCCAAACTCGAAGATCATCGATCCGTAACCCCGAGGTGGCGCTAGCGTGGCGCGAAGCGTGTAGAAGTCGGTCCTAAGCGGTGGAGACGAGGGAATCGGCGCGAAAGCTGGGAACCGAAAAATCGCGGTGGCCATTGAGGACACAAAGGACAGACATAGCCAGCGAGCAGAGGAGAGAACGAAGTCGACGGTGAGCTGGAGACAAACGGTGAGCGGAGGAAAGCACTCGAGCCGAGTCGAGTGTCCCTTTTCGTGGTTCCTTTCAAGTTCTCTTCCGGGAGGCAAGCCGAGTCCTTCACTGCTTTTAAGCTCGTTCTCGTTGGAAGGCCAGCCGGGCGAGAAGCTGCTCGGATGCCAAGAGACACGTTCCGTCGCAATTCCGCGCGCTAGCTAGCCGGCTTACCGGATGTGCCAAGAACAGCCTCTGCAGCCAGCAGCCAGTCTGCAGGGGGGATGGAAAAACGTCGAAAGGACTTAAGTTCGGGGAAGAACGGCGAACGAGCGACGGCAAACGGAAGAAGAAGCAAGGGGATAATGCAGCTGGCACGCCGTAAACATTCGGGGCCATAATATGAAAACATTGTCGGATGTAAGCCGGAAGGCACACAGCAATGTGCTGAGCTTAGCTCGCGAGGCTGTGCGGTCTCTCGCTCTGTCGGCGCACTGCCACGTCAGGACGTCAGGATTTCAGGCAGCAGCCACAGCTCTCGTTCGACTCGTGGATTCGCCTAGTCCAAAAGCGCTCTCAGGCTGGCAGGGTTGGAAGGACAGGGCGCCAAAGGAGCGCGCGGAATCCCGACCGACCTGGTACTGCACACAGTGGTGCACACCACGATGAAACGCTGACGAATCTGACGCGCGCTTTTTGCCAAATTCTTCCTTAACTAGCCGGCGACCGGTCCGCCGCGCAAATTCGGGGATAATCGAAGCTTCGCGTTGTTTGCGCCGCTCGCGACTCGGATTCGCGTGCGCCCTAAGTCGCGATCTAGCGCTGCTAGCTCCGGTACGTTCGATGATGGATTAAGCGCGCTCTA